CCCACCTGCTCAAACTCAGCACTCGATCCTTCGCTCCTTCGATCTGCTCTGCTCTGCTCTGCTCTGCTCTGCTCTGCTCTGCTCTGCTCTGCTCTGCTCTGCTCTGCTCTGATCTGCTCTGCTCTGCTCTGCTCTGCTCTTTCTTTCTTATCATCCTCTCACCCTTTTCTCCCCCTTGTTGCCTCCTCCTCTTATCATCCCCTCCGCATCACCTGCTCTCCCTTTCTCTTCTGCTTCTTTGTTCCCTCCTCCACTTTGTCATTTTGCTCCGCCTCTCTGCCTCGCCGCCTTTGTATTCTTCCCACCTAATTCCCCCATCATCCTTTCTTATCCCACATATCTACTACCCATCATCTTCCTTCCTCTCCCCTCCTTGTCTTGCATCTTCATCTACTCGCCCTCATTCCTGTCTTATACCTCTTCACGGTCATGCTTTGTTTCCCATGTCCACTGCTGCTGCTTCAGCCGCTGCCCCCGTTCGTTGCTTCCTGCTCCTGTGTCCCTCTTTTTTCAATTTTGGCGCGTCTGCTTACAGCAACACTCCGTCTGACACTCTATGACAGGCTTGTCATGTAGAACCTGCATGCTGTGTTGTTCTCTGCTATTTTTTGCCTCCAGCTACCCGACATGAGCGAAGGGTTGCCCTCTCCCTCTCTTTCTCTGCTCTTGTAGGATCCTTCCTCCATGATTCAGCTTTCTAGTGCTGTGCTCCTCGTGAGACGCTCATGGCTGCTGCTGCTGCTGCTGCTGGTCATGTCAGGGATGGAGGGTGAGGATGGTCAAGTCCTTGCAGTCACGACGCCATCGAGCGTGTGGAACATGCCGCCGACAGGACAGACTGCTTTCAAGAAGGTGAGGAACAACCCCGGCCCTCCTCTACGTGCCGATGTCAACTCTGCCGAGGTTGTGGAGAGAAGTTGTGAGAGGCAGAGCGCGGGGCCGCACAAAGTTGACTATCACCTGGAGTGTGAGGCAAACGGCGCCAAGTGTAGACAGTGGGAGGGGTTGTCGTGCAGCGAGGTCGACTCGATCCTTCACAACGTGCGGAGGTACGAGCAGTGCTACGCGACTCTAGCAGCTCGCAAGAAGAGGATGAAGGAGAATGTCGACATGCAGGAGAGTCAGGAGAGCAAGTCAGCCAAGTTCGAAGACCTCACGTCGGAGGTGAGCAGAATCTCGGGAAACAGCGGCAACCATGCAGAACAAGCGTCCCAGGCTCATGCCGTGGCAGCGAGGATGGAGGTGGAGGCTGTACAGTACCCGCAGCAGCAGGTGGATGGAGCAATGCAGAGCAAGCCCTGCTCCTTTCCAAAGATCGACGTGGACGGTCACATGAAGTACAAGCTCGGCGATGGGCTCGAGCCGACGCCTGCCATCCCGCGCGGAAGGTGGAGGGGGGGAGAAGAGAAACTTCCACTGACAGGGTGTGGTTGGAAGGTATAAAATCCTCCGATCTCTTGGCTCAGGACTTATGGCAAGTTG